GAATCGAGAAGGTCGAAGGACTTGAGATGACTTGAGCATGTGATCAGATGGGATCATACATGGACGCAGATGTCACATCAGGTTCTTGGTTCGGTCAGGGCATGTCACGGCTGATGCATGCCTGGCGTGTATAATACGTGCTTTGCGATTCATGACACTTGTTTTGTACCATCATGCTTAGGAAAGTGACTGTGGGCCTGCCCAAACATCCCGCACTAGTCAACTAGAAGTTGGACTATTTGCTGTTGCAGCTACTGATTGCATGTTCATTGTAGTTGTAAAGGATTGTAGTTGTAGAGAATCCAATGCATCAAACAGTTCTGAAACTGCATACATTAGTGGACTCTCATCCACGCCGAAATTCAATTACCGTGGTGAAGTTTAAATGTGCCAAGGGCCTGAAAGACCTTGAGGCACTCAATAAGAGACTCACCGAGCAACGAGCTTTGACTTTGTCAGGTAGTGGCATAACTCTAGCCAGAAGACAAAGCTGTATAGGATACCTTGACTCGGTGCTGGCACAAACCGTGTGCCACAAGCTGATTCCCTGCTGGATTCAATCATGAATTGAAATAGAATCGAGCTATGAGAGGCTGTCTGAACTAATCAGTGTAGTGTAGTTGTAGTTGTAGGTTCTTTCAGAGTATTTCAAGTGTGCGAAAGCCTTAAAGACTTCTGACTGGATCCGCAAGGGAGCCTCGGGTAGCCACCTCAACATTCAGTCTTTCTGCTCGAATTCCAAGAAGACAAGAAAGATCATGGAGCATTTGTGGAATCGGTGGTACCTGAGCTGTTTTTGAGTTTGACTGACTGCGTTTGGCCATAACAGTGGCGTGCATTCTTCCATCTCTACCATGATCATTTTTGACAGCTGTATGAAGAAGTGTGAAGAAGCTGTCGCTTCCTGCGGATTCCATAGGCAGTCACAGACAGAGCCGTACCCCAAAGATGTTTACTGCCCAATTCTCTGCATCACAGACAAAGGGCCAAGCAGACTAATTCCACAGGGGCTTGTCCAATTCAAGTTGAATCAGCATAAGCAAGTATGTGCCATTTCATTCCCTCGTGTGTGGCTATAAAATAACGATGCAAGACCACTGGCACGGGTACGGTTGCATTGCCACTAGTAAGTAACTTTAGGTTTCAGGTCCAAGTGCCTCAAAGCCACGGGTACTGCACCCAATAGATGATGTACCTACTGCTGGTTTGTCTCAGTCTTTTTCAGACCAGGTGTTGTCAATATGACATCATTCACCTGCCTTCTACAGTGAAGGTCTTGAGAAGCACCTCAAGAAAATGAGATGTTTGCTAGCGTTTGGAGCGAGGGTTTTCGACAGATTGAATGCTTGAATTGATATTGTACTGTACTCATATTGCCAAGCCCAACTGCCTGAGCATGTAGTTATTATTAGTTATTCTTTTGTTGGTCGCTTTCTGTTGGCATCATTTATCATGAGAAAAGTCAAATAGTGATCGCCTAGATTGCGTCTGACTTGCAGGTTTTTTCAAGTATGCAAGGCAGTAGTCTCGAGACCCCTGTGCAAGGCCAGCGATGGTTTTCATGCATTGAGTCTGATCTGAATCCGCGATTCCCTGCTTTCGAAGAGGAATCTTTCTGAATGCCCTAGGAATCAGTAGCTAAACTCAGAGACAATGGAGTTGTTGCCGTTTTTCTCAAGTGCAGCATCGTCTCATTGTCAAGCAAATACATCTTGTATGTCAAACTTAAAGGGATGTAAGAAGCAGGGGTGAAGGAGCAACCGGGACAAATCATGATTAAGCATGGAAAGGAAGGTTTGAATTGGAAGAGCTTCGAATCAGCCATGATTGACAGAACTCACCTGGACATGACATCTCTGCTTCAAGTCCGGAAGCTGTGGCAAAAGAAGTGCGTCAGTTGCAGCATAGAGGATGTGGTGAATGTCAAATTCAACTTGCAAATTCACCTCAACTGGGGTGCCGGGATCGTTCCGCATCATTGAACCATGTTGAGATTTGCTGAGATATGCTGAGTTGCAGAAGTAGATGTCTGAATTGACTTCAGAAATTAGATTTCAACCGCAAGCTGAGCACTACCGAGACTGCAATCGGTGACAGCTCCTGAGGTGGCTTGCCTCTTTCTGCATACGAGCTGGACACACTTGGCTGTGAACGTGTATTGCCTCTGGTGGGCACCTTGGGATGAAGCCCAGCGAAACACAATCACACCTTGGACCGAAGCCGCCTATTTGGGCACATGTGTCAAACAAATACTGTAGAACTTCGTAGACGCTACGGTGGGCATTCTCGCTGGTTTCAACTCTAGTATGGCCATCCGACGTCCGTGAAAATCTGTAGAGACGCCAACGGCCGCTTTTGAATGTGTTCTGCGGACTGCAGGTTTTTTGGCCACATTGCTGAGCGTATTATGGGCCCAGGCAGTGGCGGAACTTGTGACAAACTGGGTCATTCCCCAAACAGTGTGGTCACAAAAAATCTTACTGTAAGAGTTAAGGCCGGGTGTCCAATCGGTGGTGCTCACATCCGCGTCCGGCAAATTCGCTGCTATTTACGGTACATTCATTCACCTCGAGATCTTCGAAGTGCATTTCGACTGTGCATAGATCAATTGCGCTCTCGTTGTGGTGCCGTGCACATTGTCGGACTTGGTGGTCACTTCTCGTGGCAGGCGTAAGGCAAACCTCGCTTTGGACATGGCAGTGAATCGTGACTGTCGCTTTCAGAAAATTTGGGAAGTCTCGAGCGAAAGCTGCGTGTTGGCATCTTGATGTTGTCTTCAGAAGTGCTCTTGCTGCGAAGCGCACTGGCACTGCGCGATGTGAGTCTTAACTTGCAGATGTGGAAGGCGCAGTACTTTGTGGACCTTAAAGTGCAGATTCCGAGACCGGTGCAATCCTTTGCGGCCTTGGACTGCAGCAAACGTGCTCTCATACTTAGGCTCTCATGTGTGCTCTTATGTATGTGCTCCTAAATGTGCGCTCTCATGCGCGTGTGCTCTCATATGTGTGCTCTTACATGTCCTGTCATATGTGTGCTCTCCAGCCCTCCAAAGCTCTAGACATCTCTTTCCACCTCTACACGACCTCCAATCTTGACAGTTGGGATCTCAATTCTAGATCTCTCAATCTCAAGATTTCTCTGGATCTAAAGTTACGCCTAGACATCGATCCCGCCTTTGCTAGACCTCTAAATCTCCTAGACCTCAAACTCCAGATCTCTAGAAACTTATATAGAGGCTTCACATCTCTTTGGATCTCAAGAGCTCTAGGCCTTAGATTTCTAGACCTCCAGAGTCCTCTAGGTATCTCTGGATGTCTAGGCGTTTAGATCTTGCTGGTCTAGATCTTTTGGATTCTTTTTGCATCTGAAGACCTAAATGGGTCTCAAGACCTTTAGACCTCTGGATCTCTAGACCTCCTTCCTACACCTCTGAACCTTGGACCTCTAGGGATAATAGAATTTTTTGCAGTGTGATGTCGGTCGACAGACATGTTCTCTATATCCAATGTATCCCCTACTGAGCTTCGTCATAGCAGCTGACAACCAAAGATGTCACTGTTGCGCAGTCTGGAAGACTGAGATGTTTGCGGTCTGCTTCTAGTGCACTCCATTAAGGTCTATGTGAAATTTTGTTTGTTGTTTGTGTGCGCAGTTTGGCGAACAATTTTGTTGTGTGTATGAAACATATACACAGCCTCCTCTCCAGGAAGGTTTCTCCTGACATTCTTGGCTGCTGCAACTTGATCACAGATTATCGGGATCAATGGAGACGATGCTGCAAGTTTGGCCTAAGATTGATAAACCTCAACAGCATCCTCAGAATCCTCAGATGCCTTTTGTGCTATTTGTTTGTCGTAGAGGTAGCAACTTTGATAAGACGGCGCAGAGATGCAGCCAAGACGGAGCCTTCAGGCTGCTTTGCGCACGTGTTCTTGTACAGCATGCGGTAGTCAAGATATGGACGGCAACTTGTGTTTATTAGGTTCCAACCAAAGTCCAAGACTATTTGTGCATCATATCATACCGGCAACCTCCATACCATTTTTCAACTCTCAGGGCCTGGGTGGCTCCTTGTTTTCGTTAGCATGGAAACGCCGACGTCGAGGCGTTCAGGGCTGGGCCGGCTTGGAATGGTTGAGAATATGAATCTGTGTAATTAAGCAATCACATGCCTAGCACTGCTTGTACCAGCTACCAGCATGACTCAGGTGGCAACACAAGCAGTTTCAATATTAAGTCCAACGTTTGGACCTTCGCGAGACCGGGCAATTATGTCTACTGCAAGCAGATGACAAATGATTGTCAGCTTGGCCATTGCATTCAGTTAGACTACTGTGCAATCCACCAACCAAATTCTGATTGAGCTGTCATGGATCAGGATCGGAGAAGGAGACGCTTTTCAGGGCTTTCTCAAAGGGACTTGGGCGGGCAAGACTTCGAGGCTGAAAATTCACTCCAAACCCGTGCAACACCGTGCGCTTGGGACAGATCCTTCTGGCTCTGCTGGAGCCTCTGCCAGCATCCTGGGACTTCTAGGTGCAGGGGTCTCAGTCCCACCTTTCACGTGGTAGTTGTGTTTCTAGTCATGGAAGAAATCCGTAGAAATCCTGCAGCACCTATGATACCTATGATTCTCCTGAAACACTATGAATGCAGTGGTGTTCATTCTTTCAGATTGCTTTGGCATGTCTTTCGCTGTTACTGTCCCATGGCTGGAGGCCTTTAAGCTTCGGCTGGCTTCAGATGCAAGGTGTAGATTTAGATTTGACGTCATTCGATGCAAGTCTGTCGTGACTTCCAAGTGGAACAGTCGAAAGCTATGCGGATTAGCAGTTTTTTCTTGCAAAGCTGCTTGAACAACCACAAAGTTCGAGGTATATAGTAAATTAGAGCTAGCAGCTAGCTGTTAATATAATTACACACCGGATTGGAAGCAATATCAAGCATTTACCTCCACAGTCAATAGCTAAGCCCAGTTTTTTTGCATTCACCCTTGTGCCATGTGCGATGCGGATGTTATTGTAGTTGGTGCCGGCATCAGTGACCCGGCAGTTAGGGGGAGACAGGCTTGCAAGGCCAGTCTTGAGCAAAGAGTCTGAAGCAGTTATTCAATTATTTGTGTTTTTTCCACAGTGGAGAGTGGCATCATCCCCAGCTATATGGTCTCTCTCTATATATATATATCTATATATATATATTTATGTATACTATAGATTATATACATAGCAGTCCCCATGGACAAGCAAGTTTGATTGCTAGACGTTGGCAACTTGCAGAACAGAAGTGTGGCATGCCGCCAACTGCCCGAGTCCTTCAGCCGCCTTCAGCCTGTAGGTGGTCTTGCCTGTGCACGAGAATTGCTTCGAAAGGCTTGCAGATAACAAGCAAGAGTCAAGAGTGTTGCACAACGAACCGCACCTGAGCTTCTGTTCTCTCATTTGGGGTACTGTAAGTCATGTCGGTGATGACCACACTGTTTTGATTGACATGGCAGTGATTCTGGCCCAGGGCATACATGTTTGTGTGCTTGAAGCTTCTGATCGAGTGGGTGGTCGCACCTACAGCGTGGAGATGTCAAGTCAGCGTACTTTGGAGACATGAATGTCAAAGTCGCAGTCGCAGTCGCATTGACGCTGGGTTGTGGTGGCAAGACATGATCCTAGAAAATCCTAGCTTTTGCCATGTCTAGTGGCAAATCATGGCAAATCAAGCAAGTAACGTTCCTGCAGCAAATTCAGAATTGGTACATTCTGAGGCATAGATCTTGGAGGCCAATGGATTGTTCCCTGGAGCAAACATCAAGCTCTTTTTTCTATTTGTCTCAGTCGAGCCAGATCTCTGTAATTAGATGGTATAGTCTTTGCTCATCAAGTGAAGGCCTCCAAAGCGCAACAGCCTTTTGTTCAAGCGCTTGTCAAGGACAGCAAACTGCACCTGTAGCTGCAAAGTTCATAGCAATGCTGCCCTAAATGTTGTGGTCTGACATAGTCCAGCAGATCCTCTTTATGAAGCTTTGATCCTACAATTTATATCACTTTCCAAAGTTATCACTGCAGGAGTCGCTAGTGTCCCTTTCTTTGGCAACAAGCCATTGACGGTAAGCAATTTGAAAGGCAAAGGTGGTTGAGGGACCTGCCCAGTGCACCACTCCAGGAACTTGGGTTGCAGCTTCATCCTCAGCACTACAACGGCAAGAGGATTCTGGATCTACAGGATCGTCAACCCTTGGAGATGCTTGTCTTACGTGGAAGGCTTGCAAGAAGAATCACTTAGGCTCTTAGATCAACTGGCAAGTGAAGCAAGAGTGTTTCATTTGGTTTTTATCACCAGGTGCATACATCTCCAATTCCTTGAAGTCATGCTTGGTTGCCCTTGGAGGACATGTCTTTGTCTCTTTGCCAATTCCGTAGCCACGAGAGGCGACTCCAAGTCCTCAAGTTGTCGCATGTCCAACCGAGGTATAGTACCGAGCCTCGGCACAGCCCATGAGGCCCAGGACCAGGAGAGTCAAACATCAAACTGCACAGGCTGTCAGATGCGGGTATGTCACATGACAAAGCTTTGCCAATCTGATGGTGTTTCCCGTGTTTCGTGTGCTAGTAGTTTGGAAATAAGAAGAGGCTGTATGTCCAAGGATATCCCAACGGGTATTGGGTTGCGCGCTTTGCTAGCGGTTCAATTTACCCTTTGGTATTGCACTTTGCAAGCCCGCCAGAAACTCAGTGAGCAGAGGTTTCTTTTTTACAAGTTCGTATATAGGAAGTGTTTGCCAGTTTCCCATGTATGGCCTCCCTCCTTTTGACGAAACCAAGCATCTCAATCGAAGGCTTGAATATTGGATCAGCCGCAGCCAAAGACACCTCAGGGAAGCTTGGCAGGCTCGGGCGATCTCAGCCTGTAAGCCATTCTTTGAGAGAAGTGGGCTTTTTCAATCTGGGAAGCCAAAAGTTTCTTTGCAGTCCAGGCAAGGCGGAATAGCCTTTTCTTGGACCCATTTGGTTCCAGCTTCTCGATATCCCTGGGCCAGCATTGTGAAGGTTGGTATCACATGGTACCATTGCATGGTTGTACACCCTCAGACAGTGCCCACGAGATGTGACCGCAGATTCGACCAACACAGCACTGCAGATGTTCTGGCAACTTGGCAGATAAGAGCGATGGCCTCCAACCTACTAGCAACGGCCTCCAACCTACTAGCAACGGCCTCCAACCTAATTGCGATGGCCTCCAACCTAGAATACATGAAGATGTCGTGACACCCGCTCAGTGAGACACTTTACAAGCCAAAGCAAGCTTACTGTAAGTTTGTTGCGAGAGATGCGTTGAAGATACTTGCTACGTTTGCGACTGCTTTGACGGCACGGCTACACTTCCAAGGAGAAGATTGCAGGGCTTTCTGGCCAGGTGGCTACAAAAGCACTTGTGACTGCCATGATACGGGGCGTTTTTGGATGTGAAGCGAAGGAGAGAACACCTTGCGGTGACACTTTGCCTGTCAGGTTCCTCCCTGTTTTTGGTGCCAGTCTTGTTTTCCTTGCAGCAGTTGTGTACGGCAATGCCTATCGCATGGCTGGGATTGACGAGTTAAAGACGGCGTGCCCTCAGAATGAATACAGTAGTTGGTAGTCCTTCTTGCAACGTACTTGGGGTTCTCATCGTTTGGTCACAATTTTTTTGTGCATTCGAAGATCGTCAGTCCTGGGTGGTGCAGAGGAGTTATCTTGGCTTCACTTCTTGCACTATATCGCCTGTGCTGGCGGAGTTCGATCCTGAGCTCTGAGATGTTAGCGCCTTTTGCCACTCTTGAGCTTGCACTCCATAGCACTCCTGACCTTCAATGAGTCGTCCAAATTCCTGTGCCTCCCAACTCCCGAGCCCAGTTGGAGCGCCTCGTGACGATCAAGAAGGGCTTCCAGGCGAGCGAAGGGGTCCGATGCGAAAATCGAAGCATGCGAGATGCGAGGCACTTCGGGCTTGCAGAAATAGGGGGTATCGCAGAAGAGCAGCCTGCAGCAGGTGTTTGAAAGGCTAGCAAGCAAATATACAGTACTGTCGGTACATGCACATGAAAAATGTGCATAGAGGCAATCAATTTGGACAGCTCCACCATCCTGCAAGAACGTTTGATGAGGAGCACACTGTATTGGGCGGTGCCCAGCAAATTTCGGAGCGCTTGGCCAAAGAGGTGCGATCTTTGGGAGGCTGGAGCCGAACAATTGGGAACCTAACTTGCCGTCGAGGTAGCAGGTATAAGTATACAATGTAGAATCATGTAGAATCCATTATATATATATATATGTTGCTTGGAGCAACGTTTCTGCTGTCTAGCCCGCAGACTTAGACCTTTGTTGCCAGTCCATGTGGCTGTTTCAATCTCATCTGAGCTCAGACCAGACAGCTTGAGGAGTTGCAAGATCACCCACGGTGTCACTTAACCCAGTCAAGCAACATAGGACACGACAATTTACGACAATGTCAAGTCAAACATCTAGAATGCAAACACTACGCGGGCTTGCATGTTTCATGTAAGCCACTATTAGCAATTGTGTTTATCAGTTCCCTCACTTCTTAAAGAATGCAACATTTTTTGGTGGATGATATGATGCTTCAGCCCCGCCGAGTGTCTGTGTGATGCGCCGCCCCGCAGCCGCTCTGCGGAAGGACAGCTTTTCTTGACACCTCAACAAAATCACTGATAGTTCCACAGCAGCACAACACATTGTAGTACGAGATGTGTGGAATCGGATTTGCTGCTGAATGACACATGTTTGAAACAAATCCTTTGATTCCTTTGGTGGTTGTGAATGTTGATTCAGTCTCCACAAGTTAATGTTTTAGTGGCTGCAAGACAATCTTGAAGCTGTCAAGGCGTGCGAACACTGCTTGAAAAGTGAAAATAATGTGATCTGGTCAAAGACCTGTGGTTGTAGAGGAATCTGACTCTGAGAGTGAGTTGGAGATTGACACTCGAGCTACTTGTCAGGAAGTGTTAGATCGATGTGAGCAACATCATTTTTTCCACATGGATGCGAATATCAGGTGTCATTGAAGGCTATCCCAATTGAACTTCACCTGGCGATCCCATGATTCAGCAATCCCCTCTGCTCTAGGTTTGGCGTCTCCGCAGGGGTGCAGATTTGGTGCAGGTGCGCCTTGACGGGGAGATGTGTTTCGTCTTTGGGCAAGCAATGCAGCGCTTCCATGCGCTGATTGTTTGCTGCAATGTACTAAGATTTGCCCATGAGGTCGGTCTGTAGATGTCTGTAGTTAAAGTAACGCATCTCATCCAGTTTCCACGACTTTCATGCCGACCTCTTAAGGTTCCTTGGGAAACATGTTTCATGAAACGGACGAGGCTTGGAAAAGGCCTCCAAGCAAGATCGAGCTGCAGGACAGCAGAAACTGTTACTGTGAGGATGGAGATGTCATGTCTCTTTTTGTCCATGTTCCCCGAACCGCAGTGGCGGGGGCTCGAGCCGCGCAGCCGAAAACAGGTGCGCCTTTCCGCGCGGGTGGTCCTAGGTGGACCTTGTTTGTCCTTGGAAGAGGACGGCTTGCATGGTAGTCGGAGCTGCTGGAGACGATCTTCCTTGAGGAGCTGGCGGTGACGACTGGTGGAGAGAAGGGGGCGCCATGCCCCATGAGGAGATCCCATGCTGGGATGGAGACCCAGCATCCTTTGAGGCTTTCGCCACTTCGTGCAAGTGGTTCGAATACAGCCTCAAGGATGCAGAGAAGAAGCTGGCAGCCCCGAAGGTCTGGCAGAAGCTGTCGGGAGTCGCGAAGAGCGTGGTGAAGCACCTCGAGCCCAAGGACTTCAGCTCCGAGAATGGCATGGAGAAACTGCTCGCGGTCCTCCGCGAGAGTCCGCTGCAGAAGCTTCCGATCCCGGATAGCTTCTCGAGGCTCGAGAAGTGGTCGAGCTTGAAGAGAACAGCTCAGGAGACCATCCCGCAACTCCTGGTCCGGGAGGAGGAGCTGTTCGTCGAGCTTCAACAAGCACTTCAACGAGCTCGCCATGAGAGGTCCCGACACGAGGTCAGGTCGATGGGAGTTGGTGCCAGTGAACATGACCCGCCAACCTCACCTACGAGGTCTCCGAACGTGACTCGGGCCGGACTTGGCTCGGTTCGCGAGGATGTGACCTTCGAGGATGAGGAGCCCCAGGTGACGAGGCCTATGACGACCTCGACGACGTCAGGCGAGACGGCCGGTTTCTTCGAGCACGAACTGAGGGGCTACAGGCTTCTCAAGGCCGCCAAGCTCAGTCAGGCAGAGAGACAACATGTTTTGACCCTGACACGGAACTCAACGCACTTCAACCAGATCAGACAGGCCCTGAGGTCTTTGTTCGCTGACGGAGCTGACCAGTCGGATGACCATGGACGGTTCCCTCGACGCACTGCCTGGTTTGCTGAGGACTCCAACGACTGGGAGATCGAGGACGACTGGTGGCCGAGCGAGACGGACTGGTGGTCTGAGGATGCCTACTGGAACGACTGGTCGCCGACCTACTGGGAGGATGACTATGGCATTGAGTTCGAGATCGGTGAGGGTCATCAACCGGGAGAAGAAGAAGGGCACGATCCAGCACAGGAAGATCTTGAAGGCGAAAAGCGACTGGAGGAGGCCTACACCATTGCAGCGGAGGCCAACAAGACCCTGGCGGAAGCGAAGATGGCAGTCGCAAAGGTGAGAGCTGCTCGGGGCTACTACAGTCCGGTTGGGATGAAGGGCGGACCTTCTGGCAGCCTTGGAGGAAAAGGAAAAGGGAAGAGCAAGAGTCCCTTTGGCAAGGGAAAAGGAAATGGTGCTGCAAGCCTCAGACCATGCTTCATCTGTGGACAGAATGGTCATGGGTATGCCCGATGCCCTGACAGGTGGTCACGGGGATCTTCATCCGGGAGAACGTCGCCTACCTCTTCGCCCAAGGGTCCGATGAAGGGCTTCAAGGGCAAAGGAAAAGGTGGGAAGAGCCGCAAGGGCGGCAAGGCCTTCTGGGTGGACTATACCCCGGAGTATGGCTACTACGAGGTCAATGTCATGAGCCTGGCCGAGGACACGCGCCTTGGAGAGCTTTCCTTGACCAAGGCAATCATCGATTCCGGAGCCACAGAATCGGTTTCCGGCATCCGGTCCATGTCGAAGCTGATTGACTCAGGCCACTTCCTGTACGACATCACGCTGGACAACCGGCCCCGCTTCCGGTTTGGCAATGGAGAACACCAACGAGCGGTGTCCAAGTGCTACCTGCTGGATGGTGGCGCAGAAGACACTCCTCTGCTCATCGGGTCGCGGATTCTCCGTGCCCGTCGAGCGGTGATCTCATACCATGGAGATTACTTGGCTCACCGTGGAGGAGATGGAAGATGGTGGGTGAGCCAGCTGTGGTCCTCTCCGGGCGGACACCTGGTGATTGACTTGAGCCAGCACAAGCTTCCAATCGAGTTCCTGCTGAAGAGGTTCAACACGAATCCAACTACTCGCTGGCCACCGGATGATGACGCCGGTGATGATTCCGACCCTGGAGATGAGCCGCCGCCTTGGAAGAAGAGACCAAGGACACATGAAGAGAAGAGGCAACACGATCCAACTGGATGGTTGCTTGCGGCAACCACTGGACATGCCCGAGACCAACCTGAAGAGCCTCCTGAACCAGAGGAGATGACAGAAGAGCGTCGAGAACAACATCTGAGAGCCGCCGCATTTCTCCATTCAGGCGAAGTTTCCAACTACACGCCTTCCGTGCCAGGAAATGATGAGCCTGGCCTTCTTTCTGAACCCCTCGGGGAACCCAAAGAGCCGGAGGAAAAGGGAGAAGATGTGATCGTTCGACGTGTTCCCATAGATCTAGAAGAAGAGGGCCATGAGGCACCCGAGGATTCCGAGAGGCCCCTGGAGACTGTGTCGTCGTTCCTCAGCGACGCGGCCGGGAATGACCATGTAGAACATGCAGTGGAAGAACATGGAAGTCACATGCATGGAGAAGCACATGGTCAGGTGGAGCAACATGGAGAGTGTCAGTCGGTGATTTTTGATGGTCGAATACTCATGGTTGAGGAAGACTCGAACGCAGATGCTCTGTCCGACCGCCTCAGCAAGTTGGCTCGACGGCTGAACGACCTCAAGAGGACGAGCCCAACGGACAATGAAGACATGTCCTCCTTCCACGGACCAGGACCCACGCCATGTCGGGTGGCCGTGCATGGGACACCACGTTCCTGGACCTCAGCGAACCAACAAGTTCGCAGCCTGGCAGGCCTGCAATCATTGTGGCCTGAGACTCCGGTACACCACCAAGGGCACTGGCACCGGGGACAACCGGGCCATTGGACCTCCGCCAGATCATGTCGAGCTGGCGCAACTGGAACTCCAGGAAGCCTTCCAAGCGCACGAGATCACGGAGAAGATTTTCAATGGGAAGCTTCTGGAGATCCGAGGACGGACCCTGGTGGAGACACGTGGACGAGGCCGCACGACAGTTCAGGTCAGGGCGAACGAGACCTTGGGGGAAGCACTGATGGCTGGGACATCGTGCACTCAGACCACGGAGAGCCCAAAGAAGACGCCGTACCCCAAGGCGATCTCGCCAGTCCGCCAGAGTCCACCGAAGCCATCGACCAAGGCGGAGAAGGAAGCCGATCTGATGGTGAAGAGCGAAGGGATCATTCCAACCCGTCGCTCGGGCAGTCCGATGAGCGTGAGCTCAAGGACCTCCTCGGTGGTGGTGGTCGCCAACGAGGCGGAGATCGAGCAGATGAAGAAGGAGCTCCAGGAAGCGAAGGCCAAGATAGAAGAGCTGGTCGTGAAGAAGGAGAAGGAGGAAGTGGAATCCAAGGGCGAGTGAATGCCCTGTGGAAGGCTTTGAGCGGATTGCGTCAGAGGATGCGATCGACATGTCCTACCCGGCTGGAGGCTGAATTGGACACTAATCCTGACAACCTTCACTTGAGCCCAACACGCCAACAAACAACAGCAGAGGGAGAGCCTTCTCTCCAACAACACGGAACTACGAGCACAACGAGCCCTACGTTTGGTGGGGAACTGGATGACACTACGAGCACAACGAGCCCTACGCTGGGTGGAGAGCCAATGGGGACTATTTGCACGAGATGCCCTACTGGCAGTTTGGGTCCATCAACGGCACGTCACCAGGAGATTGTGAAGGAGATCGCTGCCACAAACCATCTGACGGAGAAGG